GAACTTACTGCATCCACGCATACACTTTACAACGCATTATCTCATTTTTTTCGAAAAATATTAGTTTTATGCAAAAAAATGCATAGAACATAAATGATGTATATTTTCAAGAGCTACAACTTTTATTTGAAACATTTCTTTGTTACATCAATATTTATCAAAATAATGTTAAAAAAGTGATAATTTTTGAAGTTTTTTAAGTTTTGAAAATGATCTTGTCGCCAATCGGCATGGTCATATTTGTAATCAGCGCGCAAAAATACAATAAAGAGCGTAGTTTTGAGCAAATCGGAGGTGTGGGCTTTTAGGAACTTTATCCGATTCGTTTTTCAGATAATTTTTTTTTTTTAGTTATATAAAGAGCCGCATCCAAGAAGCATACAAAATTTTATGGTGCTCGATTTTATAGTTGATTTTTTGTATGCACCGATTAATGAGAGGTGACGAGAGTTGAAGGAGACACTTCGTAGTAATTGCGAAGCAACCTTAATTAACACTTTCAATTGTAATTGTGAAAGTATCATTGATACAATGCGACAATTTCGAAATCATAATAGTGATAAAATTGATCTTTTTTCTTCGAAATTTTCATTTGCTTTATACATTTAGATATTGTGCATTTTGATTCTAATAATTTTAGTAAAAGTTATTTACCTGAACAGGCACCGCGGAAGTATTTTTCATCTGAGGGGGCAAAATTTATGAAGGGGATACATAATACATTTCTTATATGTATATGTATGTAACTCCATTCAAACACCATATAATAGGTCACTCAGTGGGTAGTATAAATGTGCGAAAAATATGCACAGATTTTTTGTTCTAATTAACTCGATACGCTTAATTTTCTTCGTTATATAGTGTATTTCAATTGAACGAGTAAATAGTAAAAAAAAAAAAAAAGAAAAAAGAAGAAAAAAAAGAAAAAAAAAGAAAAATAACCCATTGAGCCCTTCAGGAGGGATTGATTTTATATATTAGTAACTATTGGTTGTGATATAGCTGCAATAGTATCGAAAACTTCGTCAGTTTGTTTTAATCTTAACTACGTGACATCTTGCTTTTTTAGATAAGTTTATTTATTCTTTATCTATGATAACTTCGGTTATACAGTCTGATAACAACTTACGCATTGCCAAAACGAATTGACATAGGAAGTTCGAGAGAAAGAGTCGCGTGAATAATCTTGAAAAGTTGGTTTTTATCTCGAAGTTTATTGTGTACATGATTATGACAAACGATTAAAAGTTATTACAAAATCCTTATAATGATTTTTTATAACAAATATTTTTCAGCTATTTTGTAACAAAATATCTAGAATACGAATGTTGAAATTATAGAATGTTGAATATTAATTAGAATAAAATTAAAATTCATAATAATAAAAAATATAAATAGTTTGCACACTAAAAAAATTACAATAAAAAAAATAAAATATCGCAAATGAGTAGAAACTAAATATATGAAGATATAATAATAGAAAATTAAATAATTCTTAGTATGCGTGAATATAATTTTCACTTCTTTAAAGTGAAATATTTGTATATGTAACAAACTTTCTTGCAGTGCAAAATGTTTGAAAATATTGAAAAAGTTTTTTTTGCAGCTTTCCGGGATAGCCGTGAGTTTATTTGCCGGCTACTTTATTTATCAGCTGTATGAATATCCACTCACACCTAGTAACGTGCACGGGCCACCGATCACCTTGCTGGCGATGGGCGTTATCACCTGTGTGATCGGTTGGTTTTCCTGGCAATTCATGAATTTTTCCAATAAAGGCCAGGTTATTATTGTAAGTAAATTTCTATAATGTTTAATTAAGACGAAATTAAATTTAATGTGTACTTAATTGTTTGTTTGTGCCCAGTTTACTGTAGTGTTGGCGATCATCATGCTGGTTGAAATTGGTGTCGGAATTTGGGCCTTGGTGCGACACGAACGAATAAATTACAAAAGTATATCGTTCGCGCACCACGAAAAGACCATTGCTCTTGCAATCACCGATCAAAAGCATATTTGGGATCATATGCAGGCCAAGGTGAAAATTGCGTCTTTTTAAATATTTAAATATTATTTCGCTGCTAAAATATCCACTAACCAGTTTAATGGTATATGATAAGCGGTTATGCTGCATATTCTATAAAGATTCAATTGAATTTTAGTTACAATGCTGCGGAATAGACGGATCTAATGACTATCGTGGGATAAGCACGATTCCTTGGTCTTGCTGCAACATGAATATGACCGACGGCGATAATGTCGCGGGTAGTTGCGTCAACCTCTACAAGCATGGATGTCAACATGTGGTATTAAATCGGACCAGATCAATTCTCCTTTACATCTTCCTGGTCGCGTTAGGTTCCGTGTTACTACAGGTACGTGCATCTCTCTCTCTCTCTCTCTCTCTCTCTCTCTTTGAAATCTCACTCATTAAAGCAATCAATCAATCAATCAACGCGCGTTCACATGCCAATTAATTGCAGGTTTCCTTTCTTGCGTGTACAACTTGCTACGCTAGAATCTACAGAGATGAGAAGAAGAAAACACGAATGTCTCTGCAAAACTCAAGAGAATTGGATACTAAAGATAATCTGTTATCACATCGATTGAACTTGCGCTCCACCGAAGCAGTAACTCCGGCAGCTCGTGTTCATTATCATGAATCACAAAAGATGGAAACGTGATGTCGCGATGTTATATCTTTGTGATATAAGAAATAGTGACAATATCAATGCTGAACAGGTGTAAGAGTAAGATTGTTTTTGCTATACAAGGTGTTACAAGACGTATCAAAAAATATTTTAATAACGTGGATTCTTCAATTAATTTTAATGATCAATTAATTAATCATTTGAGTTATCAATTTGTCAATAGCATTATTATTTATCACAACGTTTTGATATTAATTTTCTTGATAAACAAGTTGTCTTCATCAAAGTTTTTGTTATAATTTATAAAAAAATTTCAGTATTTAGAAGATATGTATATGTTTTTGAAGACAATTTTTTAATTTTTTATTGCATCTAAATTGAAAGACAATATACTCTTAATCCACCTAGAAATTTATTTCTAATTTTTTGATAAAGATCTCAACTCGAACACTTTGTATAAAAAAAAAGAACAATAATACTTCAAGAGGTGCTAAACATCAAGGATCATCATATTCTTACTGCCGCTTTTTGAGCAAATCGATATTTCCAACTGCGTTAGTAATATACTTTTTTATTTACGTTCCTAATAGCGCCAGATCATTTTATTTAAGAAATATCACTTTATCGTCGTAGCGAGCGTAGTATTATATTCCATAATCCTTCTTTATATTTTCGAGGTTTTTTTGTTTGATTTAATTTGTACTTAAAACATCTTTTGAAGTAGTTATTAAGTAGTTATTTAAATGCACCATACAACGTGTCACGCAAGTAGTGATGAAATTAGTAAAAATAGAATAGCTGATATGCGTCATTCTCGTATCTTGTATTATCTAAAGATACGAGTGACTTTTGTGTTGAAATGCAATCAGAAAGAATGAATCTATTTTCAGAGTAAACAGAAAAATAGCTTTATTGTTGACGCAAATACAGGTTTTTCTTGTTTTTCTTTTTTTTTAATTTATATATTTGACGTTTCTTTATGCCATTATGACATTTATTGATATGGACGTTTCCTTCCGATTGTACAGATTGTCTTCTATTCTCAATATTAAAATGTCAATATATGCAAATTTTTCGTGTATGGAAATTTGAAAAATGTGTGCATATAGTAATAAAAATTGTGTGTATGCAATAATGATAAATGCAAACTATTTTATATAAAAAAGGCGAATGTTTGATTTTCTTGGTTCATGGATGTATAATCATTTTTATAAGATAAATGTATTTTTTATAAGAGAAATTCTGATTTCCTGACATCATTCATTAACAAATTTTGCTTATCGATACCTATTCCTTTTTCAAGTAAATTTGAAGTAAATTGATTTATAGTAAATAAAAACAATAAATATATATCTTGCAGGGAATATACATATTATTTAAAACTAATTTATTTTATTAAATAATTTTTTCAAATGTTGCATTTCTGATTTTATTTAAAAAAAACATGTCACATCATTTGATATGCTAATAAAATGATATTTCTTACATATTTTATCGAGTATTTAGATAAGATAATATTACATGAAAAGTATCAAGTTACAATTAAGTATCATGTAGTTGCTTCTGATTTATCTCCTTGAAGTATATCTTTGTGATGTAAAATTGATCATCAATGATTCATCACATCAACATCTTTCAGTCATTACCAGGTTTATCGACTTTTTATTTATTTGATTATGACTTCATTGATTAAAAAGTTGTTATTTTATCATGTAGAAAGTTTTATTTGATAAAAAGATAGAAACACAATGTGTTAACAATAAAATAAGGTGAATTGAACGACATTTGATACGTCATTTTTTCGTGAATCGTGCATTCGGTTAACTTCGGGTGGGCATGCGCAGTGCCGTCGTACTGGCGCTACACGACTGACCCCACTTGGATGAACTTCAGTTAAATTCGAACTGCCGATCGTGTTTTGTGCCGTTTCGCGTGCGAGTTCGTCCTGTTAACCAATCAGCTCCAGCGTGTTTTCCTCGCGTAAAGCGATTCCGTTTTCGCAACAACTGTGAATTCCGTGATCCACTCAAGATGGGGTGCGGAATGGGTGTAGTTAAATACTTGCTCTTCATATTCAACTTCATCTTCGTGGTATGTAGCCGAGATCGCTGTGTGTGATGAGATAACGGCGCCAAAATGCGGACGTTATTTGTGTTTTGCTTTGTGTACTTTCTCCAGTGATACAAGAGTACACGAAATATCATTCTCTCTGTCGCTCATTGGATATCGAACGAAGACAGAATGATATTTACGCCGACTTGCGTCGTTAGCCGAATGATATGTGCTCTTATCAACGCAATGTATCGTAAGGCTCTCTTATCGTAAGACGAAAATTATTTGGTAATCACAAGCTGAAAGTAAAATGGATACCAGCAAACTCAGACTGAATGAAGTTTCATCCTTGTTTCTTTCTTTTAACTGCCATTTAAGAGAACGATCTTCAATTGTTCAATTCATTGCAAAGTTGGTCTCTTCAGTTATGAGCTAAAAGTTCTGATCTTAAGTGTGGAACACAAATAGGTATATATTAGCTTGTTTATCTCGCTTTTATTTCTTCCTCTTACTTTCTTTGACATGAAAATCACGTTCGATACGTGGATCGAGGTTGAATAGCGACGTACATCGCGCTAAATATGCGATGAAAATACGTCGCTTTGAAATGACGCTTGCATTGAGCTTTACGTGGAACTCGTTTACCGCGAATTCACGGGTGTGCTCAATTTTTGCCTCGTCCTTGAAACGTGCAGACGCGTTCTTCTCTTATTCGTGCGTGACCGCTGCAATTCTCTTGTTATTAGGGAGTGACTGTTGTGGATTTTTTAAATGTTTCCTCTTGCGATTGCGGAACAGATAAGATATTGTTATTCAGAATAGAATAATACAACTACATTGAACTTTTAGAATTGTTTTTTTATTCGGTAGAAAATAAACTGGATGGTAAATTTTGCGGAAAGCAAAGTTTCATAAAATTTGGAGTATTTATATATTTATAAGATCGCAGTATATGCAAAAAAGCGTATAGAATTTTATTAAAGGATATTTATTAACTTTTATTAAATCTACGACGTACAAGCGTTTTTAACTTTTTGTTTTATATTACTTGCGCTTATTAATCGCGTAATTGTAAAGCAACTTGTTGGGATACAAGCTCATATATATATAATTTCACGCTTGTATAATTTTTTAGCTTAACTTTTAAATATTTAATGATCATTGAATATTTAAAGTTGAATGTGAAGGGTATCTAATAAAGATATTTGATTAATGCGTGATTTAATGCGTGAAAAGTATCTAATAATAGCATCCGACCTCTAAAAACATATCTAAGGACATGTAATTAATACACCAAAAGCATCTAATTACATATAATTAATGATAGCATTTGATGATTCTTATTCAACAATATTTGAAATAATTCTATAAAATATCTAGAATCAATTTTACTTATACAACGAACAGATTTCGATATGTAAGGTACGCACGATGGGCGTAATCGTGTTTTATGAATCAGTTTTTAGTATATATGATATATATAATGTTTCGTAAGCGCCATTATCGGCTGACTCTTATAACGATAAGAAAAATTCAAGGTTGACAATTACGAGAACCGTGTAAAATGTCGTGTAATTTGACCGTGCAACTTTTTGCTCGTGTCAAGTTTTCAATTGCAAGTGCTGATAAACCTTCATTATCAGTAACATTTGTTCTAGATAACAATTGCAATATTGCAATAAGAAAACAATAGCAGTAGTGTGTAGGACTTATAAAAAAATAATAGAAGATTAAAGTTCACTCTATTAGTCAGAGGAAGTGCGTAGTTTGCGACGGGTGAATCAATAGATTCTCGACTTGTGTGTTAAAGAAAACGGATAAATACGAAATTTTTTCAATCCTTTTATACTTAAACACTTATATTTATTACATCTAGTAACTAATTTATTTTCTAAAAATATGGTTCACCTTTGCTGATCAAACGCTCATTAATGGAATTTTTTAATTAAATTAGCAAATTAATATCTTGGAAGTTGTTTTTTTCTTAAATTTAGGAATAGAAAATAATCGGGGCTAAGAATAAGTAGATAGATGATTAATTTCTTCTAAACTGCAATCGCGAATAACAGACTTTGCAACTTGAGCCTCGTGCGTCGTTATCGTGCAGAAAAACACTTCCACAATTTTCCACGCCTTTTTCCCGTAATTGCTCTTCTTAATTGACGCAAAACAGTAGCTTGGTAATGTTGACATTCTTTTTTCTTATATAGTTTAATCATCTTACGTCTAAATGTAGTCTATCATAATATTACTGAAAATATATCGAATATCTCTCGCATACTTGGCCACTTATTCGCAATAGTGCGACGTAGTTCTACAGCGTTTGCTTACTAATCAATCGACAAAGTCATCCATCATCATCGCGATTAATCTTGTCATCTCGCCGGCGGTCATGAGCATAATACTTTATCATTATCTTTCATCTTTTTGACTTGCGAAAGTCCGATTATGGAAAAATACATCAAAATTCCGCGATATCGTTGATTCGATAACGCGAAACGTGATTAAAAATTTACGACAGCAGTCAATGACTCTTATTTGATGATATTCTAAAAAAAAAAGTATTTAAAAAATACTTAGAATCTATTATCGTCTCGTTGAGGGAAGATCCGGTAAGAAATGCAACAGAAGGACGAGATCAGTACTGAACTCTGGAGATAAATGTGATTCATCATAATCATTGATTATCCTGTGTATCCCGTTCTAAGCCAAGCTAAGCTAAATTATTAGCTGTGAATTCGCTGTGTTATTTGAATCGTTCTTTGAAATCGTAATCATTTTAAAAAGTCGCATACTTACTCACGCGTTGCGCAACAGTTATCTCGCGAGAGACTCATCTCGCACACAGTATAGGAAAGAGTCGTGCTTTTCTTTCTCGGTGGATCAGGACAAGTTTTAATTTACTGATGACGTAATTTTCAGAGTAGACTCTTATCCGATACAATTCCGAGGACGTCGTGACGACAGTCAATTCGCGTTCTTTACAGTCCCTTTCCGCTCGGTTTGCTTACTGTGGCGGGTCACGACGACTGTTTCTTCTTACGCCACTCAAGGTCTGCCCTCGTTCTTTCCCTTTCCTTGTAATCATAGTCACCGTATATCGAATTTTATCGAGCGTCCGAAAAAACACTTGTGTCGGGAGACGGAGAAATCGTTGTGTAAAGGACTATATGACTTCCCTCAAACATTTTTCCCTTTGTTCGAAAATCGATACGCAGGACCAAGCGACGAAATTATTCTATGTGTTGTATTTCGTTGTATTTCGATGAAAGGAACATGTAATTTAAGGATGGCTGATTACATTGTTTTCACATTTTGCATTGTATTCTCGATATTACTATTTTTTTCGAATTTCGAGAAAATATGGTTTTATGAGAAAAAAAATTTACGTTGGAAAAATCATTATTAAAGGAAGCCATTATTGAATGCATTGAAGAGACTGTTATAAAAACTATCCTAAAATTTGTATCACTTTAAAAAGTCGGTTTAGCAGATTCTTTTGCGCCTCACAAACGACTTCCTGTTCTTTTCTCTACGTGACCGACACTGAACGGTTGACGCAAGTATACATATGACCCGCTTCTCAATCCCTTCAATACAATAGGCTTAGATATTTAACGACAATGATTTTGAAGTATTAAAAAGTTCATTTTTTAATACTTCAAAATCTTTGTCGTAAGGTTGTGTCAGCAGTTCAGTAGCAAAACCGGCTGCCTTAATTTTTCGAATTTCGTTTCGCTAGAATATTTCTGGGAGAATCTTTCGTCGTGTTATACTATCGATTTATGCAAAATAAAAAAATTATTTTTTTCGAACCAGTACACCAGGTTCCCCCCTTAATTCAACTGAAGTACATTCAGCATCAATAATTATGACAGACTTGCAATTATACATCATTCATATTGTGTCTAATTATAAAATTGACATTATTACTTATTTTGCATTCAAAACAAGTTTTTACGATATATTAAAAATGAAAACTATTATTGCTTAACTGATTAAAAACTTGACTTGAAACATTACACTTGTTTATCATCGATATATTTTTGGCTCACTGATGATCAATGCATAATTTAATATCGCGTATTAAGTTATAAAATCGCTTGTATCATTCACGCACCTGTCATGTATTGATGATGGACATACGATTCGGTGGAGGCAAACCCGACACCTATGTACAAGGTGGCTAAAATTAGCACAAACACGCAGCAGACGATCTTGTTTGCTCGCCCGTGCAACATGCGACGACGTACAACAAACTTCAGCAGTGGCGATAAGCCAAAAACAAAAACATCTCTCTTTTGCCGCGAGATATTTTCTTATCGTGAAGAAAAAGAAGTGTGCAAATATTAACTACGTAAAATTGCATGTTTTCCGCCGATTAATAAAAAGTGAAGTTAATTGAAGCGCTTGTCGAGTAATTTATAGTCGACGTAAATATCAATTGTCCATTCGCCGACCTTACAATCAACGAAGCTCTACTGCAGTCTACATCGACGTTCTATTACAATCGGAGGAAATGAAATGAAATTTTATATTTTAAATATAGAACTTCTTGTGGTGAGATTTTATTAATATCGAATCGTTTATACCTTTTTTTTTTAGGAATAAAATTTAATTAATTGATAATATTATCGAACTTTTTAAATTCAAACTTTAAAGACACACTTTGTTTTACGCCTTTGTTTCTCTCCGATATCGGCAGGATTGAAGACCCTTTGAGAAAAACTGGGTCGCGTTCTTGTTTGCTTTCTTTTCTTATCCGCGAAGAAGTAACGTGATTCGTTTATGGTAGTCATGAACTCGACGGTAAATCTGTCACGGAAAGGTTAGATTACACAAGGCTGCGAGAGAAAGATAGGTGCATGTTTCCAGGAACATTCGCGAAAGCGATCCCGCTCATCTATCATATCGCGCCCGTACGTTTCCGCGAATTCAATAATTTTCGAGAGTGTACAATTTATTTCCTCCGTGAAACGCATCATCGCGGTTATTCATTTACTGTCGGTTAATCGCTAGCGGGGAGATAAACGACCGTATTTTATTACAACAAAATAACAGGTTAAAAGTCTTCATAATATTTTTTACGAACTTTACTGCGAGGATAAAAGCGTAAAAAATTGAGATTAATCGTCAATGTAATTTTTCTCTTTCTCGTGCATTCTTACTTGCTGTGTTACGCATCATTTAAGACATTCGATGGATTTTGAAAGATATACAAAGATATATAAAGATTTTTTGGATTAGTTAAACATAATTGACGTTATTTGTGTGTGTGTGTGTATCATGCTTTAATGTATTTTAAGTGATAATTATTTTAATATCGCTACCGGTCGTGAGACCGTTTTCAAGAAACAGGAAAAGCATCCTGTACTCAACTGAATTAATTCAGTATTGACTCATCATCATTACTCACTTGATGGATATTTATCGGCTTATTTGCATGAATGATGAATACGTTTAGATCTTTATGTCACAATAAACATGTAAATTTTATTTATCTTTTTTTTGCAATTTTCTAATTTTTTTATTGATTAATGTTTAATGAACTATTCAATTTCGCGGATTTCATTTTTCTATAATTTATACTCTAGATATTTTATTTAATATTAACATATGATAGTTTTAATTATTCAAATGGCACAATCTAATTACGTTTGCGTAAATTGCTGGTAAAAAATTTTGTCACATTGTCAAGTCATCATTAATTTAGTTAATTAAGCATTAGTCTAATTAAGTAACTTATTTGAATAAAATTTTATTAATATGTAACAAAAAATTGTGAAACTCACAAATCATAAAAATATTTCTTTTGTCACTACTTCTGCAACAAAAAAATCGTCACAAATCCTCGTTTTTATTTTTATGTTCTTAATAATTAGATAAAAAATTACGTGTAACAACTTTAAATTGCGTGTTCTCGATGTAGATAACATCTAAAAAAAGACAATGAAACACTGTATTGCGTCAGTTCGTTGAAATACTTGTTATACTGTTTTTTTGTTGTGCTCGCAATTGCATCGTGTCTCTGCATATTTTTCTTTGCTTGAAAGCCTCAACGACCGGGACGTCGCTTTTCTTATCACTTATCTCGCGAGTTTCCCAACTAGTTACGCAACTTTGTGTAACGTGATTGCGAACTAGGTGTGCCCAAGAAAGGCGATACGTTAGCGACACTTCCTGTAATAATTCGTAGACGCGAGAATTTTACTCGAAAATTAAATAAAAAGCCACTAAATATTGAAATCAGTGCTTAAATAGTACTTAATATTGAAATTAGTAGTACTTAAAGTATAGAAGTTGATAAACTAACTATCGCAGTAACTAATATTATAATTTGTTCGAGACAATCTGTACTGAACATTAATTGCAATGAAAAAATACCGCACATAAAATTTGGATTAAAACTCTCTACATTTTGCCTCTAAACTTTTAATCAAAATTCTGGCACCTAAATATATCTTTCTGACACATCCACGTATAATTATTTTTCACAGTTAGCTGGTACCGTACATTGCCTTATCGATTGGTTTTGAGATTGCTGATTGCCGAGGATATTTAATCGGAGTGGAACGTTATCTGTTTGTCATGAAGGATTATGTCAGTTCGAGAAAAGAGTATAAAATCAAGATTTGATGATTAGTCAGAATCTTATTCGTGAATCGAATTCAAGCTATCAGACTTGTTTATTTAAGACGCTTAAATACTTAAATACTTCTAAATTAATTATACACATTTACTAAATCATAATCGAATCGATATTACTTTATCGAGCGGCGATTATTATCACACAAGAATTTATTATTATGTCATGGCGTGATTCTTATTTTTAACACTCGGCGTCACCCGAGGATCAATCGCTTATCACCTTTTTGTCATTTTAATGATAATTAAAAGCGAGATGGTTTTTAATAACAATTGAATAAATAATTAAAATGTCAACGGTGGAAGGTCGCGGTCTTTTCCTGTTTTCTTTGTATCGAAATTGTGTGATGCAGTTTCAGAATAATCAGCAAATTTGTAATGTATGTCGCGCATTTCGTAACACCGTTCGCTGCATGTATTAGCACCGCCTGCAATTTTCCTGCGTCATAGATGATGATTGCCATTCGGCTAATATTGTCGGGCATTCCCTGGTGTCTCATTTTCCTTAATTATCGGGTCACGCTTCGCTTGTGTCGCGTTCGTGTATTATGGCTTATGATGCGCGAATTTTCCACGTTTTAAAATCTATCGAGTTCCTCATTCAACGTAATTTTTCGCAATACGTTGTGCACTTTCTAAAATTTCGCAAAAAAAGAAAGAGACAGAATCACGCAAAGATAAAAAAGGATGATTGTGCAATCGAAGCGTGCATGGATTATGTTTCAAGTACATTGATTATGTTCCAAGTATTCGATGCGAGAATTTTTCCAGCGAGAAATGCGATAATCGTCAAAATAAATTCATCGATTTATCATGGATGATTATTTTTGCATTTGTTATCCGAAGCTGTGAAGAATTGTGTGATATACATTTTAGAGATGATATTAATCATCTCCTTATTAATTCTATTGCTTCTCGTAATATTAATACAGATATTGTTAATTACTTCATTATTTTGCTTTTATCTCGCAGACGGAAAATCTACTCGCGGACATCGTACAACGAAGTGAATCATGCGATCTCTTTTAAAATTGAGCAAATATTTAATTTAGATCTTGTGCAGTTATCTAGCCGTTCGATCGATACTTATCTTATCGATTGCCGTATGCATAGTACGGCATGAAAATTGGTTCTCGAAGGTTTCAATATTTTTATTGCAAATATTTAGTGGTTGAAAGCAGCCCGCAATTAATTAAAAACGCCACTTCTAATTGAAATTTCATATTCGCATCATTCTTTCGCGGTCGCGCAACTACATCTTGCGTTAATTTGCGCAACGGGAAATACGGAATTGTTTCCCGCACAATTGTTTTCCGCGCGAAGGCGACGCCCGACGTCGTCAAGCATGCGTAATCTCGTGTGTGATGTCGGCTCCGAGGACGTGCGTTGGACACGATGATGTCATCCCCGCGCGCACAGACACACCGGCGTACGTGTGTATACACATAATACATTCTCGCCCACCATGGCATTCCACGCCATTGAGCTATATATAACGTACACTGAAATGAGCCTTTCCCATAAGAACCCAGTGTGCAGTTTGCGGCCCAAGGATGGCAATAGTAGGCGGGGACATTTGTCTTTCTTCATCATTCACCACCGCGTACGGTAGAAGATTTTAAAAACGAAGACAGACATGAGACGGATGTCCCTGTCCAATATAGCTCTCTCTCTCTCTCTCTCTCTCTCTCTCTCTCTCTCTCTCTCTCCTCTTCTATAGTGGACCATCCCACTCATTCAAGGCTCACTTCAGTATGTTGTATAGCTCCATGCGTGCAATTTCGATACCCTGCAAGAACGTGTCCTCCGCAGCAGTGTCTCCCAACTAATGCAGCGCATTTTAAGATGAAATCAGAAAAGCTGGAGTAATTAAAAATGCGAGAAGAATTCTTATTCTACTATCGTCTGTAGTCGGTTCGACAGTTTCGCCGCGACTTTGTCGTTAGTAGTTTCATTAATGCAATCGTTAAGAATGATTTTCCGCGCCTTTTCTTCGCGCCGCTTTACGTATAATGTTGTCTGTTGCGATGTACTAGTTTTGGTCGATCTGAAACTAGGGCGGAAATTATTAGAGGTTGAATCGATTGAATGGACGCACTTAGAGCAGTCGTGTTCTGCGTTTCACTTATGTGCTGGATAAATGCATTAGTCCACCTGCGGCGATCTCAAGATCGACCACCGTACACCACGTGACGTAGCGATGTGTAAAAATAACGCGTACGCGCGCCTTTCAAGGACGATTTCCAGATATCTGAGAACGTTTACCGGTTGAATGTCGGCCACATGCCTCATCTATTTCTATCCTCGCAATGTATTAGGCAACACAATGTTTGAACGCATGTTTGGCAATGGCACGTTTACCGATTGATCAATAATAAACAAGAGTGAACGCCGCCAAACATATAAGTAGAAGTCGCACGTGACTTCATTAATTTATCGATTTTCATATATTATCGATACTTTCGCGAATGTTGTTTAAAAAGTGATTACAGATTCCATCTGATATTCAAATTCGCATGCAAATTTATTAAAAATTGGAAAACTTATATATAAATGTTTATTGATTTCTGAAGCTCTCTTTGCATTCTATGCGTGCTTCGATTATTTTCTGAAATTTTTCAAAGTTTGCAGTATTGTATATTTTTAACGTACTGATTACAATCAACAATTATAATTTCTATGCAAGCAGTCCACTCATTAATGTCCAACAATCTGCAATGCTGTGTATTTTTAATTAATTAATAAAATTTAAGATTTTTTAATTAATAAAAATACATTAATTAGTATACTTTTAACATATTCATTGTAATTAAACTATTCTAGCATTGCTATGGTTTATTGTAATTTTATGTGTATGTACGCAACTACAATCATCCATGCAAAACACAAAATCACGATATAACTATCTTCGTTAAACAGAGAAAGACGTTATAAGCTTTATTGAGAAAATAAAGTACATTATAAAATTGTTTGTTGTAGTGATAAGAAAAATAATATTGGAGATACACATTTATAAAATATCTTTCGTCACAGTTATGCGGTCTGGCTATCCTGATCCTGGGTGTCTTGGTGCAACTGACAAAGACCAATTATGGCAAAGGGATAGAGGATGCCATTAATACCCTTAGCTTCCCAGTGGTTACATTAATTGTCATCGGCAGTATCATTTTCGTCATCGCTTTCTTCGGATGCTGCGGTGCGATTCGCGAGAGTCACTGCATGATCGTCACGGTAAGTCTTCCAGTAGATTTCATCTTGTGCAATTCGAGGAAAATTAAATTTTAATCCTGTTGGTCTCGTGTTTATCGATTATTTTCAAATTAAAGCATGAATATGACAATTCGAGTTTACTACATTTACGAAGCATAAACACACATTTGATGAAGTTAACACGAATATATTGTATCTAAAAAATTAAGGCGTGAAGACTGAAACGTGAAAATTTTGTTTATTAAATTTATAGATTTTTCCATCTTATATATTGACTTTAATATTTTATTTATCTACCGCTTTCCAAGAATTATGACCACGCGAATTTATTAGATCGATATTGTCATATTTCTTAATATACTATAATATACATGACGCGATTGCGACTAAGCTCAAAAGCGTCAAACAGCGTGATTGTTCAACACACAGCAGTTTTATCAAAACGATTAAGAATTGTGACAATTGATTTATTTCTTCCGCGCAGTTCGCATCTTTGCTTCTGACGATCCTGATCATACAAGTGGCTGTTGCGATCTACGCGTTCGTTAATCTGAACAAAACCGAAGAGTTTCACTTGAAAGAGGCGTACACGGAGAATGTCTTCAACCAATATAAGACTGATAATGATTCAAGGGAACTTGTAGATGTGATACAGAGAGAGGTAAGGCTGCTCTTTAAAAAGTTATACATTTTTACGTAACCGCACCGCGATTATATACACTCAAAAAAATATTTCGCTGATGTAGTTAGATTTCTAAATATCGCAACAAGAATGTATCGCTATTTTTCGTATCTGTGAAAACATTGTTTGTCACATACAGAATTTATAGCAGTAATGTTCTAGCAATAGCTTCTGAAAAATTTAGGTACCATTGCTAAATATTATTCATTGCATGATCTAACACGTGATTGATCTTATATAGATAGGCGCTTTAGAGAAACTTTCTTTTTCAAGTTCACAAACAATAGATATATATTCTGTTTCTGTCATCTAAACTTATTAAGTAATTACATATGCAATATCACAACAGTTGCTAATCATTTATCTGTTTTAGTTAATTTTTTACACTTAGAAAATTTTAGCTATTATTGCAAGATCATTTTTTTGAGTGTATTAAAAGAAATCAATATCTTGGACATAATAAAAAACATAGTTGAATAAGTAAAATTGAACATGATATCGAGTACAGTTTTTCTGCCTGCCATCTTAAAGACAAACCTGTTTACTGATCTATAAACAGATCAATATCTTAACATAAAATAAACATTTGCAGTTTGAGTGTTGCGGCGTCGATTCTTACAAAGATTTCTCGAATATTCTTGGCCTGCGTGTACCAGGCAGTTGTTGTGACAGAAAAGACACAGAGTCCTGCGATCAGATTAACGTTCGAGATAAACCAGGTTGCGGAGGAATTCTGGAAGACCTCTTTAAATCTGCATGTGCGATATTAGGTGGTATTGCTCTGGGCATCGCTGCTGTTGAGGTAAATAAAGGCTGTGCGAGATTAAAGAAATATGAAACTAAAGAATTTTACATATATATAAAATTTTTATATTAATACATAATTTATATATCAAATGACATAAATTATATATAATAAGAAAAGGTAGTAATAACTATAAAAGAAACGCGACAAGATAATCTCAAGAAAGAGTCTTAAGCAAACTTGAACGTATACATTTTTTACTTTTTGATTTTTATTTACTTGTGTGAAAAAAATATTTTGTAGTAGCTATGACATGACATGACACCTTTTCTTCCTTTTCAGCTAATTGGCATCATCTTTGCGTTATGTCTGGCGAATTCCATAAAGAACGCTGAACGCAGAGGTTACAGTGTGTAGATGCAGAACATCGCGGAAAACATTTGCTTCGTACGAGAAGCTTTCAACACAATCTTATTGTCATTCTACTATCGGCAATGTATTCGCCTATAAGATGTGATAAACGTGTACGTACGCTTTACAACAGAAAAAATCAAAATCATTTTTTTTCCAAGCTGAATACAGCAAAACTTCTTTAAATTTTTTTCTTAATTTGCGTCGTGATTAAAAAAAATGAATATTTTCATTAAAGACGCATTTTTGGTTTTCGATGGAGACATTAATTATTTATGAAAAACTTACCGTAAAGTTTGATGCACAAATGTATTTGATTGGCAGGCGAATGTTACAAAAATCGTTGCGGTCTCATTATTGGACCATGTTCCTTTTTTTTTTTGTGAAACGATTTCTTTTTTATATGACAACATATGAAAATATATTATATTCTCTTTTTTATATGATATGGTATCGCTTTGATTTACACACATTTATACTTATTCTCGATAAAAATTAAAAAAATTAAAAAAAAAAAGTTATTACATAATTCTTTAACAGTCGTTTCGTACGATTGTTGGTTCACGAACAAAACTGATTGAAGTATCCGGGGAGGGGAAAAGCAGACGAATTATAGTATTTTACAAAGTTAACGTTAAAAAGATATTTTCATATATGAACTACACAATCGTACCTGCAGAGATCAGTTAACGTCACTGTTAAAAACACGAAACTTTCATATATATCTTTATATAAAATTCACTTTGTTTGTACAGCACACAAGTATCTATATACATATACATATATATATATATATTTGTGTTTTGTAACAAAAGCTACTTTATGTATTTGTAAGAGTATCTTTCGCGTTTGTACAGTATTTTTGCTTAAGCGCGATGATAAAGCATACAAAAAGCTGGGTATGGCAATGAAAGTATGTGAAACTATCGAAACAACATTGTGATTTTATTTATCATCATTTATTCTCATAGCTATTAAATGATATAGCTGAATTGTTATATCCTGTCATGTGTTTCATCATCTAACTATTCTCGTCGACATAATGCATGCGTTGATTTACTATCGGCACAAAACTGTATACCCAGCTCTGTACATTCGTTGAATAAACGTAAACAATAGTAATCGGTTCTACAAGTGTATTTTTCTCCTTACTGTTGATTACTTGTTGATTACTGTTATGCGTTAGTTTGCGATAAATAAAACATCCCTCTAATTTTAATTAATCTTAACAGAGAATCAATACTTGATTCTAAACTTTAGTTCTTATCGTAATAGCATATTCGTAGAGGAAAAATATTTCAATGCGTTCAACGATGTTGCAGTTGTAGTGCAGCGTTGACACTCAATTTTTTCGTCAATTTCTCGTATTTTGATGTCGAAAATGCTATGGTAAAAAAAAAATAAAACGCTACGAACAGCACTGAGTTAAGTATTTATGTTAAAGTGTAATTTTTAGATGACATGAATATAATAAGTATTTTTATGTCTCTTAGTCAACATTGTAGTTGACATAAATAGAGTAATCAGAGTTTATGAAGAGGATAAAATAAGGCTGGAGAATCACGTATATCAAAGAACGTGTTTCGATAGAAAACAGCAAACTGGACCTGGCAGAGAAAGTAGAAATAATTATCCAAATCACTTGCGGTTTCATTCGTCATTTATTCTGTAGATATTACGTGACATTACTGGACCGTTATCGCGTGCGTCATGTTTGATTATTTCGTTCGCTTATTTCGACACAGCTCACGTACGCGTACCATTGCTGTTGCTTGCTGCGAGGCGAAATTATGTACGCACCTCTGTACATTAATAAATTAAACGTAAATAACAACAATCGGTTACAAGTGGTTTTTTTTTTGCCTTCATATATTGTCGTTATTTATTAAGTTCAAGAGAGGATAACTTACATTTGCGTTGAGCTATGATACATCCTATGTACACCGTCGTTCAGCAAAGTCTCGCTTCGCGCAATTATCGTTTGACTTCGCCGCTACTCCGACCGGGAATAAAGATCAGGGACACGCGCCTGTCCCCATAGAACTTACAAATATCTTAAAGCTATGTCATTAGTCTATTATTTTCAGGCTGCAGGACGAAAGTTGTTTTCTTGGAAAAGGAGTTTCTCTCCTTCGCAACCGGCTATGCGTGTCGTTAAAATAAATATGCGAAATAAATTATGATCTCTCGAAATTGAAATTATCGTAACGACGGCGGAAATAATTTTTCACATTAAAAACGCCAATTAAAATTAATTAATCCTACACGGCATGGTGATATAATAAATTAGAAAATGCCGTCTTATTTTACATGATTGTTAACATGATTTTCACATCGTTTACAGATCCATATTATTATTTAATAATAATAATATTTGTTTCGTATTTATCCTATTTCGCCTACGATCGTGATCATATAAAATATTAATGTATCACAAGGATCGTTATTAAAATATTACAATTCTTAAAATTAGATTTTCGAATAAAAAATATCGGGAAACAAAATGTTTCTAAAAAGCCCGCGAGATTGCCTGAGATTTCGAGTGTTAAATAAATCTTTTAAGAATGATTCAAATATTTTTCTAGCGACAAGTAAGAAGGGTACAGCGATGCAATGTAAGGATTGATAAACGCGATCAGACTCGAGATTGAAGATTCATCGTCTCACTTGCTTGACTAGAACAGCAGCAATGCGAGCAAACGCAGGACAACTTTCTACGTCCGTGCAGCCTCTCCGTCTCAAATATTGAATTCTTCGTACTCCTGTATGCGGGTATACAGCTACGTGTAAAATCTCTCGATCGCTATCGACTCGTTACCCTAAGCTTACATACGCTAATGATATTACGCCTACAACTCGACCAAAACACGTTACTCAGAAGTCCGCTCGTCTCGGAGCGATAAATTTCGTACAAATCACACTGAAGTGTCGTCCTATCTTTCATTCGCACAACAAAGTATTCAATCACTTCGTCGATTTTGTTACTTTTCTACGCATAAATCGTCCCTTTCTCACTCTCACTCTCACTATATTAGGTATATTACAAAGTTCGGAAGCGAAATGTACAGGCTCCATTACGTTCTTACTTCTAAGGACAGAAGAAAATAGTTCGTCGCGCGTGGACCAAATTATCGATTAACTATTTACGCAGTTTTTGACGCTCATTGACGATTGATGACAGGATTGAAGGGGTGGAGGAGTATAAAATATCTAGATTCATAGAAAATCGACGAGTACCTCTTAATCTACTCTCTATGCTCATTTTATAAAGTGACCGCGCCGCGACATGCGAGAAGTTTCTTTCGATAACAAAAATTGATAATTTAATATCAAATATCTGACTCATATTTTGTTTCGTAGATATTAAATTCATGGAATTTATCGCAATTTTCAATTTTGACCTTTCAAAATCCTGATTATTGAATGAAATTTAAGTCTCCAAAAATTGGATCTTTGTTTTATCGCAACACATCCTTTAATCAGTCGAAAGAAATACTTAATTATAAATATATCATTTTTGACGGATTCAAAGTATTTGGAAAGAAACAATTGTCAATAATTTTCCAATTATCAGAAATTCTTTTGTGACAACCGCGACGTAGAAATATTTCGTACCCGAAATATTAAAAAGATGAGCTATGTCTATTGTGTCGCCAGTGTGCGTTTATTACGCAGCGAGAGTTTCCCAATCGTGACGAATTCATGCCCCGTCGTACATGTTACTTAGTGTCACAGATCAACTACAGCTTACATATCCTTATTCTAATTCTTTGACTAATGAATATTTATCCGCACGTACCCATTAGTAGATCCCTTTTGTTTAACGCACCGAAGTACAGCGCAAATATAACTCAAAATTTATATATTTGCATCATTTTAAGCAGTTACAAAGGTCGTTCCACTTGGCTTGATTTAGGTTGAATCAGTTAGAAAGCAGCCTAAATCGGGAATCAGGTGAGATCCAATCTGGATTTACTTTTGTTTGTCTTCGACTGTACCACAGTGCGTCACTTACAACTCGAGTAAGAGGAAGCTCGCAGAGAAAGAAGACAAGATGGACTCTTGTCTCAAACTATATATCTATCTCACGCAACGCTTCGAGTTTCTCGACTACTTTGTGATAAAAGAACCGTGAAATTCTGAAACTCGAACCGTGACGTTGAGGACATTGTAGGATAATGTATAAACCGTTCTTGCTCGTCGTGAAGGATTAATGAGCGACATTGATGTCTGTAAAATAATCTATCTTTGATGACGAAAGAATAGTACATTGGTTGCTAAATAGTTATTCACCGTGTTACTTTTTACCGTGTTAAATACGATCGGGTGCTTTATTTTGATTTGCTCTAATTGGCGATTGAAAATTGTTTGGGAAAACAATTGAGACTTATGTCGCATTTAATGGATTTGCGAGCCTCTTCCCAGCGCACACCACAAGCCGCGTTAGGCGCGTAACGTGAAACTTACATGCAACTTGAGATCTCGACGAGACCTTCTTCTACTAAAAAGTCTTATTACGCCTTACTTTGCAGTCAGAATATATAAGAAATATATAAGAAAGGATATAAAAATGTGACTATCACAACATATTTTTGAAAGATATAAAATCGGTTACTTCTAAATTGCAAAATGTTTCCTGCATATTCAATGCATAGCCAGCGTAAGGCCAATCGTTAAGAAAAGTTTCTTGATCCTTTAGCTATTAAAAATTGTCATTGAAACTAAAAGTGAAGAACAGAAGAAATAAATTTTGCAACTTATTATACACAATTTCATCTATCGCCTTCCGGACTTTAAAGAACAATGATTCAAAACTACAATCTTCGTTCTTATTGAAACAAGTGTAATTTTTAAAAACACTTTCTCTCATCCAAAGGATCAAGATATCGCACTGTTTCACCAGCCGGGAAGGGCTCGCATAACCCGTAAATCGCGTATTCTACGGAATCAGTTGCCACCGCCGACGTCGCCGCCGACGCCGCCGCCGTCTCGTGGTCGTTCCTAGAGGGGCGAAAGCTTCATGATGTCGCTGTCGAGATCGATGGACGGCATGTCGTCCGGGTCGAGGGGGCTGCCGTCCGAGCCGAACGAGGGCGAGGGCGCCGCCGCGACGAACTCGTCGAGGAAGTCGAAGGAGGCCACCGCCTCGCGCTCCTTGTCCCCGTAGCGTACGAAGAAGTCGTCGCCGCGGCCGATGATCGACGGCCGGGACGAGCCCCAGGTGGACGGCAGCCGGAGGACGCGGTGCGCCTGGGCCGCCGACGCTGAAGAAACCAAGGGCACACAGCAGCGGGTCAACAGATGCTGCTCTCAGACTTCACTCGATCGACTCGATTTTGCGCTCTTTCTCTTTCTCTCTTCTCTATACCGGCTCTAGCAGACACAGAGTAGCTCGGCTTAGCACTCTCACGTATTCACATCTCCCTCTCTCTCCCTCTCACCCTATCCTCCTCTTTCTCTCCCTTTCTTTCTCTCTCTCCTTCCTTCTTCTCTCTCTCTCTCTCTCTCTCTCTCTCTCTCTCTCTCTCTCCCTTTCTCTCACGTCTCCATTATTCGTCGGTATTGCCTATCGCCTCTCCGCTTTTCTATCCGTCGTCTCACCGTACCGGTTACACCTCTCTTCTCCGCGGACTTTTATTTATTTGCTTTGAAATTTAGACACTTGGCGGGTGCATGACCGAGCGATGCGCGGTGTACGTCAGACAAATAAAATTATCGTACGCGCGTTAATTGGATTTATTATATTTGTTTGAAGATATTTTATCGCAGCTATTCACACACGGTTAGGCAAAAGTTGTGTATATTTTATTTCTACATTTTGGCCTTGACTTTAAGCTCTGACTTTAGATTGAGATATAAAAGTGACTAACTATTGGTGAGAATTAATTCATTAAAAATAGAAATATTAGAAAATATAATTATATTATTTTATATATTATATTGCTGAAAAAACTTTTAGAAAATTCGATTCTGAAAAATTTACATCCAAAATGTCTCTGACAAAATTATTTGTCGGACGTATTGCACGCATTTTCTTTGGTATACAATTTATGCCATGATATTCGAGAATAATGATCGAATGATGAAATCAAATAGAATCGTACAATTAGATGTTATTTCTATGAGGCGAAAAAAGAAATCTAGTAGATTTTACTTAGCGCACTCCGAAATGAAGAATGACAGTATGGCGTGGTTAATGATCAAACACAAGCAGGCGATGAAATGAAGCGAGGATGAAGGAAGTGAAGATGAAAGGTGCTCAAACGGTCTTGCACATGCCAATGAAATTTGGAAATTGTCGATTCACTCACAGTACAATGAGAGAGAAAGTAACTACTTTCGATTTACCCTGACGCAATTCCACGTGGACAACTGTTGCATTTTAGCACGCGATATCTACACAATATTCATATTTGCAGCTTTATATATTGCACAGTTAATTACACGTCTTTTATCTAGGAAAGATGCTAAATCATATACGTAATATGTATATATCAATTTGCACTCTCGTCTAAAAGTCTTTGGATGTTTTGCATTTTGCTGTTGTAGATAGATAATTATATATCTCCGACTATCCATAAAACTAGATGATATATTTGACTGATAATTGCACTAGATTTGATTACACGATCATTCCCCTCTTTGCCATTTGATTATACGTTATGAACAATAAGCCTCACACTTAATTGGCCTTTGTGTACCCTCGTCCCAAGACTTTCGGACGGCAGTATAGGTGCCAAATGGGTCGCGCAAATATATACAAACAGAGACAGAGAGATGGAATTGCGCGAAGGCGTTTACGCCAGGAACGTTTCTCCGCCGGTTAATAATTCTGTTAGTGTAAACCAATAGGTAAGTCCGTTGTGGGCGTACACGTGGTTCAGTTCAGGCCGAAATAGATTCCCCGGCGCGGCAATGTATTCCTCCCAATTGGTCATGTCGCTTATAGAAACTGATCGTCACTAAGCCGAACTACGTAGCTTTTCTTGTGACAATCAAAGCACACCGCGTAGGAGCTACCATCTGAACAGAAAATATGGAAAAGGCTATGTACAGCGAAAAGGCTACTAGGCGCGAGCGTAAATAGTGATGCCGGCAGTATTGTGATTTGTTACTGTGTTAATTGCCAGTGTCGGAGTAGGCAGAAAAGCCGCTCAAACGAGTGCGTGGTGTGATGTGCGACATCGGTTTTTTAATGTAACGTCAACTGTGGCAAGGTGTTGTAAACATGTTGTAAAAAATGTAGATGTGTTGCCGTCTTAAGCTTATGATAGCAAGCGCTGTTCACACACCACCCGATTCTCAAAAGCGTCGTCAAATTTGTCTTCTAGTATTGAATGACTATACATGAATAGAATACCTGAACTGTTATCTCGCGCACATGGTATTTCTTTATATAATAATGATAAAATAATTTTGTGAATAAAGTATATAAAGTCAAAGTTTGAAGCATCATTAATTTTCATTGTTGCTCCTTTTACATTTTATTCATTCATTCATATCGATACGATGTAAGACTCTAAGGCATAGAATGAATAAAATGTATATTTTAACATTCTAGATCATTTCTTTCTTTGAAATATAAGATTTCAATGCATCACAGTGAAATTCCAGGCCTATCAAATGATATGTTATAAGATTCTAAGTATAAAAAAAAAAATGTACATTAATGTACAGGTCTAGAATCTAGCACGCAATATTCTAGTGTCATTAAAATTGGATGCTGAACTAAAACTTATATAATCTAAAACTGGCGGCACCTTTTTACTTTCTCTATCGATTAAATTAAATATAAAATAACAATTCAGATATTCTGTACGTGAACAATGCATAGACATCCAACACTGGGTCTTTGTTAATCAAATACTTCAGCTGCAAAGCTTCTTTCACACCACAATATTAATTGATTAGTAAATTTTGTATAGTAATACAATTTTAAAAGAAAAGCATGAGAGATTGAATGGTTACTGATAGAAAATGTTAGCAAAGGTTAGACGTTGAGAGTGATAGAAACTTTAAGCCCGCGCTCAAGTTATACGTCTGACGAGAAGGTGGTGAATGGTGATGCGCGAAAAACGGCACGGCAAAAGTGTCTACCGAATAGATACCTTTCTTTTGTCGTCGGTACCGGTGTAATCTGTGCAAATGGCGGTAATCAGGTGGTTCATCCCCTGAATCACTGCCCGCTGAGCCGCTACTCGATGTCGCCGAGGAACTTTCGCTGCTTGCTAACATCACATCTAAGAGATTGGCTCTGGCCTAAACGGAAGCGTAGCATTTATTCTCGATAAAGGCAAATAAAAACAGTGACAATAAAGTAAAACGATTTTCTCAGTGTTCTCAATATTTTTGTTCACAGCTATTTTAAGAATTATTTTTCCTCGATGTTGTTCAACATTATGCACATTTTATTGTGCAAATAATTTTTTTAGCAATTAATAATTCAAATTTTTATATCTGCAAATTGATGAAACGCTCTATCGAATTATTCTTCGAGTTACTTGTACTGTTGTTTAAAATTTAGTAATCATAAGTTCAGATGTAGTATTTCGACAAACAGCTTACCTTGGGGTCGGTGAAGTCAATATCACGTTCAACGTGAACCCATCCTGTCGGACAGCAGCAAGCGAGATCCAATTTTTCCAGCGCTACTTGCGCATCGTTATTACTGACAGCAGTATCCTCGCCCTTACGAATCATACGATTCAGTTCATCTATAACGTCCTTGGACGTGGCGCGCTCGTGGAAGCTCAATGTTCGATCCCTTCCCTCCACGAGAAGGCTTGCTCGCGCCGGGCTGACCTGTGCAATCGATATTATAGCAAGGCGTACGAATGACGCAGTGGATTATAAATGTTTTATTATAAACGTAAAATTGATATCTCTTCGTACATATTATATTTATCATCATGCTATTTTTAAATATTATTTTGATAATCGATACCAAATCAATCAACCAAGATTATTAGCAAGATTTTCCTTTAATCAGAAAACTATTTCTTCAATCGAGAAAGATATATATCGCATAATTGACTTCTTCTTTTCCTTCTGTGCAAACTTGAGAGTAAAAACTTACAACTGTACTAGGCGTAGACGAAGTCGCGGCTTCTTCGTCTTCTTCGGGAACAGCGCCCAATTCCGACGGCGCCACTGTCGTGTACGAGATACCGCCGTTACACGACACGGCACTCACAATCCTTTCTTCGGGCGCTAACGGTGGCACCTGTATCTGATCGAGTAGCTCGTCGTTGCTGGTCGTTTCGATCGCGTTTCCGGCATTGCCGCCGCTTTCCTGAGCAGACGACTCTTCCATCTCCATGATCTTTGTCTCTCCCGCAGAATCACTTTTACTAGAGCTCACTTCTGCAAGTATTACGATATTGTTGAATATTTTCTATCGTTTTAAATCCTTTTTATTGCTATTTTTCCATAAAATTATTTATGATTGTCATTTTCTTTATTATAATTAGTGATAATTTGGAGGAAAAATAAATAGCGTAAAATGATAATCATAATCAGCGCCAACCTTCGGTCGAGTGAGACACAACGTTGTGCGGTTCCACGGGATTGTTCGGTAACTCCGCGAGGTACATCTGCTGTTCGGCGATGAAGGACAGGACACTTTGAAGCGCCTGTTCCCTGTCCGGCGGCGGTCTACCGCTCCTGGACGACGTACTGGCCAGACTCTTGGTACTTTCAAATTTCACCAGCCGGTAAAAGTCTCTGGTAAAATCAGTGCCGATCGACGGAGTGTCGGGATCGTCACTGCAGCCAGAAAGCGCCGCCGATGAGCGTTTGCTTGAATTCTCCAAGGCTCCTTCCTCACTGCTCCAGGACGCACCGGGACTCGAGGCGTATGGCCAAGGTCCGTTCGCTCTCGCGTCCATTAAAAGCGCAACCTGAAAATATATAACAATTAGTATAACAATAATTACAATTAAATCAATGGTTTGATAATTAAGCAAATTAGATAAGCGAATAATTATTTAATTGACAATTTAGGACGTTAAAACAAATATCGATACTCAAATAATTGCAAATCGAAAAGAATGAGTCTAATTTCTCGAGGAGACTTCAATGAATTAATTTGAATGCAATAAACTTCCAAGTTTAAAACTGCTTTAGTACGCGTATTTACATCCATTAGAATGAATCGGAATTTGAATTGAACCCATCGCGTAAGTGACATTTTTATTCTGATTAGGCGAACATCAATCGATGTCGTGTGCAATCAACAAACATACCAGCTCTCCCCCAGCCCTATCGGCGAGATAACTCGCGCCGTTCCACAGACACTCGTTCGCGTCCTCCTCCAATTCCAGGAGATTATGCTCCTTGATTGCCGGCAGAGCCGGCGTGTTTGTAGTGGCCGGTTGCTCCTTCCACATTGCGGATTCATTTTGCACAAGATCCTCCGTGGACAGGGAGAAACTCCAATCCTCCAGCTCTGTTCTGTCGTACTCCAATTCGAGCAGGTCTCGATGCTGCTGCGCGCTCCGACTGTCGTCAAGCCTGAAACCCATACGGAGAGCTAATCAGTTTCAGTGCAGTTTCACGTTTCGGTCGCACGTATCAGCAATCTATGGGCTTTAGCGAGAATACGGTTCTTTGTTCCTTCCAATTGCATTGGTGTCGTCAGACACGCAACTGCAGAGCGAATGCGCGCATAAAATACTTCGGAACATAAATTCTAATAATTTAACTATTTATTAAATTCAATAAAGTATATTATTTAATTTAGCCGAGCATGGAAGCGATGCACATACAACTTGATAAAATTGTTGATAAATATTCTCAAAAAAAAAATCAATAACATTGATGAAAGGAAAATTTATATCAACGGGACACACTGTTATTCCACTCGAACACTTGCCTAATCAAGCTTTCATAATCCAGCATTAAATCGCCTATTGAAACATGTGAATGATAGAACCAACCTGAGCCATTGTTGCACATACTCGGCGTCCCAGCCCTCCTCCTCCACCAGCAGTAGGGAGGACGAGCCCATGGGGCTGGGGAGCTTGTACGGCGTGAAATTGGTGGTGGTGGTGAGTTTGAGGCAGAGGTGGCTGTCGGAGAAGCTGCGCATCACGTGCTGATAGGGCAGCAGGTCCTTGGTCGGCGGATAGCTGTGGCGCGGATTGATGCCCACGGTGAGATTCAGAGGTAGAAAGAGAACGTCCGGATCGCCGGCGTCGAGGGCGACGAGCCGCGCGTCCGGCGACACGTCGGCCTCGGTCTCGTCGGTGGCCTCCTTCAGGTCCTCGAGGCCGCGCGCGGACGGCTCCTGCCGCGTGCCCTCGCACTGAACGTCGCTCGACATAGTCGAGTAGCCCTCGTCGCGATTGCCGCTCTCCGGGCTCTCGCTGCCCTCCTCCTCCGACGGTTTTTGCGCTGCAAACGCGATTCAATCAAACAATTCTGAAGAAGATCCGTGTCGCAATGTCTTCTTATATTGCATTGCGTTGTATTATATTTTATTGATTATACAAGCATTATCAAGCGTACAAATGGAATATCGATATTTCAAGAACGAAAAGTTTTAGAATTTAGAAAACTAAAATTGTTTCGAAATCAGCAGTCTAGTGTATAAATTTTTGATTTTTTTGTATTGCAAATTGAATTAAGCATATGTAGACTCCAGAATATAAGGTCATATAATAAATTTATAAAAATACAAAGTTTATAATTGCGACTATTAATATAAAAATTCTGATATCAAAATGTATTTTATTAAAACACGGAACTAAGATCAGAAAGAGTAACGTAATAAAATTTAATAAAAATTCGATGTTGAGTGTAAAATTAAATGCAATTTTATTTAACGTTACGGATATTTGAAAATATTAAATTTGATATATTTAGAGTTCTAGATTGTTCTATCGAGGGGACTAAATATAATTGGGCACGAATTAATTGAATTTTATTTAAATATATTTTCAGTCACACATTTGATACATAAAATGTCTAGCTTTATCTATAATTTAATTACATCTATTTTAATCATTCTTGATTTTACCATGCATGATAAACGCGTCAATCATAGTGAAAGATGTTTAGTACCAAGAGGTCTGCTACGTCGACACTTGGTGCTCGCCATCACGGGTATCTGCAAGTTGAGGGAACGCGGCCTTGAGAGAGGGACCCAGGAAGGGTCCAGGCCCAAAGCGGCGACTAGAGCAGCCGGGCCGGCCTCGAGGATTCCCTGGATCAGTTCGGTCGGGCTTCCAGGACTGGCAGCCTGCGCCAGGATTCCCGATAGCGCTCGGTTCTGAGCCTCAAGCTCTCGTATACGTCTCTGCAGCGCGCCTATTTCCTCCCTGAGACCCTGAAGAGTCAGCCCATTGGCCATCAGTACACTTATCTAATGTGATCTTCGTTGTTTAAGAAGCGCATTAGCGGGTGAGGAAAAGCGTGTTAGCGTGTAGGCTGATTAATTCTTTCAAGATTTCGAGGCGCTTAAAATCGATTTAGAAAAATGTATTTTTCGCTATTCAAATTTTTTATCTTTGCGAATCTTCAAAGAATCAATATTCCCGAATAAAGATTTTTTTGTTTACCAAAACATTTTTATAGGATGCTATAAAACCATATGTAGAAATTTTGCTCATAAATTCTTCAGGCAAGACAATTTTTCTTCCGACGTCAATTTATGTTTAAATAAATCTATCTCAAATTAAATAAGGTATCTGCTCTCAATTCGCAAAAAAAATATAATTAACTCTGAAAAAATCTGACTTATATTATAGAAATTTTTGCATTCTTCATTCTAAATTATTAAAACAATTTCAAGTATAGTTTTCCAGCATCCTGATATGTTGTAGTCTTCGTCACAGAGTACGCGTCTTCGTTGCAGCAGCTGCGGACCCGGAGAGGATGTTAGACGAGAAGAGACATGAAGAGAGAAAGACAGAAAAGGAGGTGTGGTAACGAGAGCATAGCGATGAACCTTTTGGGATAGGAGAGCGCGGACCACCTGGTTGGCGACGTCGTCCAGACACCGCTCGTACTGCCGACGCTGAGCGTCGGCGTCCCGCGCCAGAGTCGCGTGTTCCGTTTCCAGGGTCGCCAGCCGTGCCACCAGCGCGGCGTGCACTTCACCGGCGCATGCTGCCTCCAGACCGCGCAGCTGACCTCGCATCGACTCGTTCTCCAGCTGCAGCTTCGATATCTGCGTTTGGTACTGGTGCACGCGTGCCTGGAAAAAAAGAACGCGCGACACTTGTACGATTGCAGAAATTATTTTACCCGCCTCTGATTACGAGATGCGCTAACGACGCCGAGTTCTCGCCGTTAATAATATTTTATTAACGTGACTGTAATAATATAGCGATTAGCGTAATCCGTTTTGTTATAACGGCGAAAGCGGAAATTATCGCGGCTGTTGTGAGTCTGAAAATTAATAGTAGCGTCTCTAATTAGGACATGTAACAAATGCAGGATAATTATTGTTATAGTACCAGATAATTATTATTACTCTATTAACGTATAATGTAATAATTATTATAACAAATTTATGTTGTATATATTCAACTATTTCGTTTGAAACATTAAACATAACATTAATTATAAAGCCGAATGTATTATTAAAGTAAACAGCAGCTAAAATTAATCTAGAAAATCAAATTACAGTTTCAAAGTATCATTTTTAAAAGCTCACACAATTCGGAAATTCTATTACAAATATTATTATAATATAATAGTTATTTAATATTCTATTATATATATATTAGCTTTAATCAAATAAATATTACAATTATTTAATATAAAGACAATTGAAAACTCATCCATTTTAATTTTTAATGTTTAACGTAATTTTCGATAATAAAATGCGAGGCGTAAATTATTGCCCGACGAGCACTTTTAGCGTGTATTCAGCGTAGTTCTAATCCTATTTAAAGCACATTCGCGATCATAATCTCGATCTTAACTCGACGTGAAAGTAAAAAATTGCGGACCAACGAAGGCCAGGAGTGCTCCATAAATATCCTATGCGTTATAACATGCGTTAGAGCTCAATTCCCGGTGGTCGTTAAAATTAAGCGCTAATGGATTGTTCGATCCCATCAAGCTAAAGTGACTCTCTTGCTCACTTTTTTCTTGGCTCCTGAGTATTAAATATCGAATCGGTCATTATTTAAAAAAAGAAGAGAAATCGGTCGGTCGAGAATCGGAGATTTAAATGTCGCAGACAGCATATTTCCGCAATCATCTTTCATTTATAGAACGGAACAAGGGAATCGTTCTTAAATTATCCATCCTTAACATACCTGAAACATCCGACTATATTTCTTATTCTCATTCTTAAATGGTAGTAATTACGTTGTCGCACTCGTGATGATTGCCATTTGCCTCTTAAATTACCCGTTCACGAGAATACACGTGGAGAACATCCGAGTTGCAGTGACGGAAATGCACGTAATTCTTACGCAAATGCACGAAACACTTATTTAAGAACCCTTAAAAAAACACTATTTCTTTTTCAATTCTATTAATTACTAGAAGTTATATTTAAAAAATTATCTCATTAAGCTGCTTCTATATATAAATAGGAAACATACATAAAAATTTAATTATAGCGAATCTATTTTTTACTTTCTACTCTTTTTAGTTTTATTCTTGAAAATAATGTGTCAAAAAAATATTTTTTACACATTGCATTACATTTGAAAATATTTTCTAAACACTAATTATCAGTCTCCAAATTTTTAAAATATTCTTATTATTCATATTTGCTTTTGTAAATTGTAGAATTGTTAAGTGTTCAGTTTTTAGTATCATCGAATAAAGTTTCGGTTTGCCTTTAGAATCTTTAGAAACCTTAGCCCGCTACTGCGGCGGGCTTCCTTACTTTCATTCTCAAACGGAAGTAATTATGTTGCGGTCCGATTCGTGACGGCTCGCCTCTCTTATTTGCTGTTTGCCTTGAATCCGGACTCGGGCTTTTAAACGACGCAGCGAGTTCATAGCGAGAAAGGAATTGGAAAAGTTCCGACGAGACCGATCGGACTTGCATTGTTTACCGGCAACCACGAGCTTTTCGCGACTCGGGTGCGGTAATAATAACCGGCCGTTATTAGCAGAAAGGCGTTTAACGTTGAATTAGGGCCGCGGAGACCTCTGTCGGGGACAGGGGTGCTAATAGAGGGTGCGTGTGTCTGATTTATAACAGTCGGCCCCCGCTAACACACCCCCGCGTCTCACCGAGCGAGGAAACCAACGATTTTCTGACGTGCCTCGGCCTGGGGTGAGTAAAAATGCAGACCGTCTGCCTTCTGCGAATTCTCGCCGACACGCGTTACCTTTCGATACACGGTGTCTCGAAATTCTCATTCACCTACCACATTCAGCTTTACGCGTGGCAAAGTAATTAAGCATCTAAAAGCTTTAATCCGAGGCCCACTCTTTTACCTAATTTGGAATTTATTAATAAAAGAATAGATGTTAATTTCCATATCGTCTTTCTTGATTTCTCTCGACATTTAAAAATGAGTTTTCACGATCTCCCCAGTTCGATTTTTGGCGTCCCCGATGTCGTTTCATATAATCGGCTATTTTTTGCCGACAGTCACCGATGCGCGAGCAGCAATGGAGGCACACTGGTGCATTCAGACGTAACATTATACACCGCTTCTCGTAGAGATTGCGCGGCTTGTCATTGACAGGCGGCAGCGGCGGGTTGACATTGAACCCGGGGATCGAGTGACGATCGATATTAAACGTTATTTCGTGAGGACGGCAATATAATTCTCTCTCGCTCGTTCCCTCGCCCCCCCCTGCTGCTACTGTCGTTGCGGGGGAAGAGAGGACACCCAGTAGGGTACACGACTCTTTTAGGGGCAAACCGCCCGTGAACGAGATAACGCGCGTGCTGTAAGGATCGGCAGTAAACGTCCGCGTTTACTGTTCCCTCCCTTTATTGCCGGGGCCCTCGCATATACGCGTTTTACGCTGAAAATCATCGCCCGCGAGAGCTTTACGAGACTCGCGAATTGCGGAAAACGAGAGGCAAGCGCGCGTTTATTCGGGAGTTTATCGGCAATTTTTTCGCACAGAATGGCTGCGTCAGTTCTGGAATCGCTTCGCAAATCGCGCATACTGCGGCAATTTACCGTATTAAACTCCGGTGAACCCCAGAGAGCTGACTTGAAATTACGTTGGCCGAGAAAAATATGAGAAAAAATAGAAACGCTCTTTTTCTGAGCGATACATTTTTCATCGATTAAAGAATAACAATAATAGATTGTGAAAAAAATATTTAAACTACAAAAGTCTGCATGAATTTTTGAAGATGTAAGAAAGTTCAATTTTTAATTTCAGTCGTACTTTAATTTACCTGAAAAATCTCGTGCACTCATCACGCAGTCAAGGCAAAAATTAATCAGATTATTTTCTCACAGAAAGGACTAAATTTCCTCAAATAAAGAGGGATCCACATGAATCTTCAACAAAAGCAGCTGAAATGGAGAAATTAGACCGCTCTCATCCTTGATGATATAAGCAGTGTGCGCGAAACGAGACAAAGCTGCCGTGACCGGGCGACGGTACTTGACGTTTAATAATGGGAACCGAGCAAAATTCGGGCTTGTAACAATGGCCGGGACAATTCGGACCGAGCGCTCGCGCTGGTGAAATACAATAAGGGCACGTCGCCGTGGAGGAGAACGGTATTATTGGATAAAGGGAAACCTTTTACGGGACTGTCATCGCCGCGGCGCTCCGGCTTCCACGCAAACCGATCTCCCACGACGATGACACATGTGCGCACCGATTCCCTAAGTACTCGGTTGTTGTCTGATCGCGGATCAACGTCGATTATCTCGTCCGTGTGCCGTCGCTTCATGTGGCATCATGCTGCGCGACATTTGATTGACAAAGAAGGGACAAATCTCGCAGATAAGTCCGCCGCATTTCATTTCAGGATATACGGATGGATTTAGATGAGTACGAAAGGTTGAATCATACATTTCGGCAAACTGTGATACGTCTATTTAGGCGATATTCGTAAATTAAGCGCTACGATAAGCTTTTATATTTAATTTTTCATTTGTAATTGAATAAAATTTGATTGTAACTGTAAAAAATTGTTTGAATAAATTTTGAAGTAACGTAGAGCAAATTATTTAACAATTCACAAGAATCAGACGGTTTTACTTACCTCGTAGGAAAGCGTGAGCGCCGTTTTCTCCTGCTTCAGCTGTTCGGCCCGATGCTTCTGTTGCAGCAGGCTCCGCGACGACTCTTCCATCCTGCAACAACAAATCAAATCCGTCTGCGTGAGGAAGCTCTTGGATTTTAATCCTCGTTGAAAAGATCCTAATTGAATGAGCCATTGAGACCATTCTCGTAGCCTCCTCGGTAGCTTTCCATTGTGCTGTCGGGAAATTTATTTGCTCTCTCGTCGACCTTGCTTTGGCCCGGAAGAGTCTAGCTTTCGACGAAAGTGATTCTCCTCTCCTGAGATAAACTCGTAAAGATCTTCTTTTTTTACTCGCGATTCATTTATTTTTATCTTCGCCACGCAAGATTTTTTAAATTTTAGTTGAAAATCGCTAGATGTCGTAATGCTAAATTCAGAAAATAACTGTGGAACTTAAAATATCCAACTTGTATGATTAAAAAAAAGTCAACGATTATTTCTGACTAAATTTGTTCGTTGGCCATTCTGATTCTGACGATGACGATTCTGAACGTGAAATTCGAGATTTAAACGTTATTAGCCTTCACGAAGATCCGTTCCCGAATACATTTCGTATTCTTGACGCGGCGCCTTTATTTCCTGGGTGTTAAGTTCGTATCTCATTTTACATTATTTACGAAGACACAAATCAAAAGATCGAGATTTTTGTCTGGTGAACACTTCTTCATGCGCAAACGCTCCGCGGGGTTAATGATCTGATTAGGGATGCGAGGGCGCGGCTGAGATATGAAGCCGATTTAAGCTTTTCGAGGGAGGCCGAGCGAGAGGTTGCCACAGCGCTTGGCAACACCCTCCGTCTTCCCATCGAGAAACCCCCCACAGGACAGATATCCTTGCTTATGTCCTTGGCGAAGTAACTTTCGAGCCAGTTACAAGTTTCAATTCGATTGTACTCCATCGACATTTAATAAAAATAAATTCACGAGTCGCGCGGTAAAATCGCGCGATCCGCTCGCTAATTGGATAACTAAAATGTGACGAAATATATAACGAATTAAAAAATTGCTTTATGTAACATTTTTAATATAATTTGCATAAATATTATTTCAATTATACAGCTTGAAGACTCGTATTAACATACCAAAATCAAAATTAATGATATTATAATTTAGTACAGTAAACAATTTATGAAATAATCATTTTTATACTTTCCATTATCGTCAAAATTTTGACGACATTGTAAATTAAAAAAGAAAATAAGGTAGAGGTATTTTAAAATTAGTTGATGCACTAAAACTATTCTTATTATAGCTTGAATATTCAAAACAAACTGCGTAAAAAACTTCACTGTTATTATAAATTTATGCTATTCCTATTATTTAAAATTTTTAATTAAAATTATTGTTGCTTTAAATTGAACTTAAATATTTTTACAGAATTAAGCAAAAATTTTCGGAAAGATCGTGGGACTTGTTTCGTTACTATTCATCGTTTCATTAGACGAAGAAATACGAGAGACTGTGCGAGAGCGCGATCGATCGTCGAAGTAGCGCTCGCAATTGCTGCACCCTAAAAGCAGGGTGTAACTCCCCCAAGTAGCGCTCCCTTGCCTCTTTTCTCTGTTCTCCGGCTTTCTACTTCTCTCTGTTTTCGCTCGGAACACATGGCACGGGCAAGCCGGTCCTCATGATTTACAACTGTTGCTCGGCAAATTCGATTACGATGATTCTGGGGTACCGTGCAGCGTCGAATTGCAAGCGGAAAAACACTCGTTAATTTCACATAGCCGTTCAGGAAGCGTCTAGATCGGCTGATATTTTTTTTTGGAAGCCACTAATTCAATTTAATGTTCGTTCGATTATTTATTTGATTACGCTTTTAATTATTTATGCGCTTATCTATTTTATCAAGACACAATTTTTTATATTCTTCATGTTTCTATTGTGTTTTTTTTCTTGTTATTTTTAAATTATAAATATCTCTCTATTTTCCTTTCGCGCAATGTGAATTTTTACCTTCAATTTATTTATATCAGGGCAGTTTCAAAGCAAAAAGATTTTACGTAAGATTTCACATCCGACGTCGAGGGCGACGCGGTTTGGGATTGCGCTGTTATAATTACTGTTTACACGTAGTCGCGTGAGTGACAGCGGCACGCAACGCCCCGACGCACGCACGCATTTCGCAAACTCGGAGCCACCAGAATAAACAGCGATCGACGCACGGCGTTAACGTGATGCGTCCTTTGTGCGTCATTATCATATGGAAATTGTTACACCCACTGGTTTTACACGTGTCCTGCCAGGACGCGATTTCGTCGACACGCGAGAAACTTCACTGTCCGGTTTGTTAGTACATCAGCGCTTGCGACGCGTCGCAACTTCACCCACGAATTAACGTTGTTCTGTGCCTATGTGTTCTTCGAAAACTAACCCCGTAACAACGGCATCGTCCACCAACAGAATGGATAGAGGAGTTAGGCGACACGATTATACGGAACGAAGATTAATTTCCGGCGGAGCGGTTCGACAACCGTTCGCTTTAGCCGCGAAACGACACACATTACTAGCAGATACAATAGTCGCATCGATCTTCGAACATTGCCTCTATGCTTCCACTTTAGCGAAACGCTCACGTTTAAATCGCGTATCCATCTTCTCTCGAATTTATATAATAAAAATATATGACTTTTCTTTTTTATTAATTCCCCTTCGTACTTATTAAATCAATATTTTGACATAAATTTTTTTATCGATATTCAAGAAATCGATTCTTAAAGAATCAATCGCAAAATTTCTTTTCTACCATTAAAATTGTTTGTTATTTACGGTAATTATTTTAATATCTTGAATAAATGATGAATGTCGGCGTTAAATACTTATGAATCGTAGTTTTTAATTATTTACTTGATATGTAACTGATTAAATGTTTTACTATTTACAGCAATAATTTATTAAGCCGACTGAATGAATACATTTCCTGATTGCCTACTGTCTGGGAAGCAAAGCACCAACGTATGTAAATGCACGAGCGGTTCTTTCTTACCTTCCATTCCGTTTCCCGCTTTCGCATGCTCGTACAGCTATTTAGGTTGCATTGTTCCTACGTGTAGTTAATAGGGCTCTCTGTAGCGGCACACCGGTGAAAAGGTTCGGAAAATTCAATTTCGTGTCTGGCTGCGTAGAAATAACGCCGCTCTCTCTCACAAACCGCTCGTAAAAAAGCCGCGTCTAGTACGAGGACCGCATTTTTAATTCCCCGCGATCGCGACTAGATTCCACGAGGCCGCCGTGGGAACAAAAGATCACGTTTAATTGAGCAGTCCATGGTCGGTACTACGTTCCAGTGCCGAAGCCTGGAATTTTAAGCATCGTCTGGTCGGCCGGCCCTTTGAAACTCTGCTGTTATCATGAAATACTTTCGGGGAGTCTACTGTAAAGAAAACACTTGCGTTCCCGATTTATGTCGGCAGGAGCATAAAAAAAAATAATTTCTACAAAGAATTTCTTTATTCGCAAGAATGTACTGCGTTCAGCATCATCACCGGTAATTTTTAATAAGAAATTATATCTTTTAGTAAAAAACAGCCATATATATTTGAAATGAATATCTATAGCGATACAAAATTTATATTAATTTATATTAATTTTAGTATCCATTATTATCAGAGGTTAGGCGATTCTGTGAAGTTAGCTTTACATATATTTTATAAAGAGATTTCCCGAAATTGTACAAATTAATTTCCTCCAATTTAATTGTTTTATTCGTGTTTCAAACGCTCGTTAAACATAATTATATTCCACACTAAAAATGTTTTAACATTTCGTATATTTCGATATACTGCAAGAACTGTAACGCCGAAGTAAGTGTGAGCTATAAAATGCTGAAGTGCCTAATATCACGACTTAACATTTGCCGGGATTAAATCGCGAACGGATGTAAGGGCGTGAGGAATGATGTAAGGGACACAGAGATAAAAGGAAAGGGCGAGGTGAGTAAACGCGTCGCAGTGTGCAACGCGTGATTATTCATTCATGGCGACGGAGAGAACCGTCACGCCGACGTATCCGGCTGGTTGTAATGCATCATGTCGCGTTGCACGCTGTAAAACAGGGATATCAATTTGCCGTACACGCATCGCTCATGCGTGTTACGTGGTGCGCGACGGTGGACGAACCATTTTTTTCCCGGGAGCCGCAGTGTACAGAACGAATAACAGAGCCGGTGTAGATTACGCAAAGACCCTGAAATTTCGTCACGGAAATCCCACATTTGCTCCACTCACTAATCTTACATTTAATCCTAAAATTATTCCTGGAATTCCGGGAGAAAATCATAATAAAACTGTGCGAGAACATCAGTGCGCTAATAATAAAGTCTCAAAAAGTACAACAGAGAAATTCTACATTTGTGGAATTATTTCAGAAACATGTTCCGTCAAGCTCTTTTAACTTTAATCTCACTTTCACTTTCACGCGTACTTTTAATTTAATTTATTTTTTATTTTTAATATATTCTTGATGCACAAAAATATTTTAGAAAAAAGAGAAATCAACAGAAATCTCTTTTAACATTTTAAATTATGTAAAATAAAATATATAACAAAAACGCACACTACGTTGTGTTACAATATAAAATATATTAATCATTCAACAATAATAACTTTTTAAATAAAAACCTCCCTAATATTTTTTCTCAGTCATTCGCAACTCCGAACCACCGTATATATTGTTTTGCAATTCTCTACATTGAGATAGCACATGGTCTGCGATTTCTATTGCCAATTCAGAGTCGATAAGCTGGGGATCGTCGGCCCAGCCAGTTTAATTTCTACGGCGTGTTATTGATCTCTCCGGGAAAAATGTCAGAAGATTCCTCTTTTTCTGTCTGTTCGATAGTACCGAGTCAAAGGACTGCGTTTGAAAGGCTCCCGATCGTGTACTTCGCAAAATCGTTTGGTTTTGACAGAAATGTGTACGAGAGCCCTCCTACGTGACCAACGTGCGCCAATCTATCGAATAATTCGAGAGATAATTCGCGTATATAGTCTCGATGAGAAAGGAATCCATTTAGGTTTGCTAACAACATTTTCCCGAAAAAAATTTCGCGAAATCAATTCGGATGTCATTCACAAATAATAAATTTTTATTATTTCCTGTATGACATCCAAATATATATATATTTATTTGTGAATAAAATTGAGCAAAGCGCTTGGTATTTATAACATTTTTACAAAAATTATTTTTATATTAAATAAATAAAACAAAAATATCATAAATTTAGTATAATTATTTAAAAAAATAATCTGTAACTATTTAATATATAATTTTCAAATCGTGTAATATTATTTTCAAATTCAAACAATATTATTCAAATAAAATAGTATTTCTACTCAAATAATGCTTAAAAAAATATATTCAACATAATAATAAATTTTTATATCATTAATAACTTTTAATATTAAGAAATTTTTTCTTCTTTTAAGATTACAAAAACAATTAAACCTATCAGAGTTAACGAACCTTTTTTTCAGCGCGTATTTTAAACACGTAATATCGCGACGGTGTTTCGATATTCGCAATAATAAATCGGAGCAGGGAAAGTGTCGAAGGTGGAGGGAAGTTATCATTTAGAGGGAGTTGCAGTGTGTTATTGGACGAAAGCCAATATCGATGATTTACCATCAGATTCACTGGTTATTGCGTGGGAAACGCGCGCGGTCTCATTATTTATACGTTACACCGGTATTTTTATATTTATGTATCGCGCGTACGGTCCGCACACAGGAAATAAAGTGCCGCCTGCGCAACCTCCGATGAAATAAACGATTTTCGTGCAACCATGGAAGAGGCGGCGGCAAAGGAACGGTAAGAAATCGATTTCGCATGCTACACGGCGGCCTCGAATTATTAGCGGAAGCTTCATAACTACCGCCGCACTCCTTTTCGCTTTCTACTCGCTTTACTCAGGTGAAAATTAAGAAGCGTTTGAAAAGTAAAACGCTGAACCAGAAAACGGATTCAAATTTTTCTAAAGGAATTTCTAGAAACTTCTCGTTGTAAACGTAATTGTGTTTGCAAAAAATAAAAATTACATTAAAATAATAAACCATTTGCAAGGATTACGAATAAAGCGTTAAAGATCTTAAATAATTAAAAAAAAAAAACCAAGAGAAGTAATATTTTCAAGTTTAGTCTAATTAATATTTATAACTTCTGCCGTGTTCCTTTTCGGGGGAAAAAAAAATAAAACTCTGAAATCTCTCACCTGGCCAACTCTCTCTGCAGATGATGGACTCTGGCGCGCGCTCTTTCAGCCTCAGCCGTAGCCTCGCGTACCCGAGCTTCGGCCTCCATCCGTTGCCGGCGTTCCCGCTCCACATCTCGTTGCGTGGCCTCCCTCTGCAACAATCCAAACGTTGACATTTATTAATGACGGCCAGATAGACGGGGGGAAAAAACAAAGCAGGGTTGGAACGAGAGCCGGGTAATTAACGCGACGATGGAACGATGGCGATGCAAAATTCAACGCCGGGCGCCAAGCTCGAAAAATCGGCGCCGTTGCGACAGTCGTGAATAATGAATCGGTTATGATGACGTCGATATGAACAATCGTGGAAAAGTATCGCCGGTGTGAGCATAATTGATTAATAGCGGATTTAATAAAGTGTTGCGCAGTGTCGCGCAATGGACACGCCAGTTGTTATGCTATTCGTTGCTTGTTTCATCGGTGGGGGACAATAATTGACTTGTAATTAATCAGCGCGCATTCGTCATAATTTATTCGTGGTAACGTGCGACGACCGGCGCGATTAATAAATCACCGTCAAATTGTTCGTGCTACTCATTTTCCCAATCGGGAAAAGCGATCGAAATAGTCGGCGGGCAATCACCGGAATTTTACGCAGTGATTTCAACCGGCGTAATTGCGGCGAGTTAAATCTTCCGTGCTATGTACAGAAAAGTATTCTGAAATTGGAAATTATTTTCCACGGCATACCGCGGTTTCGTGTACATAAAAAATATACATTTATCAATCTCTTGACGGTATAAATAAATAAATAAACAGTAAGACTTAAGTTATGTAAGCGGTCATTCACTATTTCCAGTAAATTGTTCTTCTGATATTTTATCATCATTTACTTCGACTAACTAATTGAAATAGTTTCCTGAAAGTAACGCGAATGATCCGGATAAATTATTCAAATAAGAAGAGTGGTTCGTACAATTCTTTCTCGAATAGCGCCCAGGTTCGGTTCGTACTAAATCTGAACTTAGCGAAATTTACCGATGGCAATTCGTGATCCTCGCTGGCGAGAACCCGGAATTCAATGGATTGATGGTCGCACACGGGCCGAGAAAAAACGCGCGAGACGATGGCCGAAAAACTCGTCGATCTTCGGATCGGCGCGTCGGCAGCGGGGGGGAATTATTCATGAATTTAAATCGAAGCGCCGCACGCTACATTGATTGCGCCCTTCCGGGATCGCGGGCGACTCCCGGTCGCTGCTCCTCTGCCCACTCTTCGTGCGCCATCAATAATTGTGCTGGACCAATGTGCCGAAAGCAGTATTTCACGCGATTTAACCCGCCGGTAACCGCGGCTATCTAGGGACCGGCCGTAAATTGTCGTTTGTCCCGCCTAGGAAGGACGAAGTTTCGGATGCGGCGCGAGATAATAATGCTCTCAGATTTGCAACGGAGACGATCGGCTTTAGGAAAAAGACAGGTGGTCAGATTTACGTAGATTCTTGGATAAGCCTTCTTAAAATCGTCCAGATACAAATTGTAAAAGCATATTGGCGAAATGCTAGTAAGTATTGTATTAAAATAAAAAACAATAACAGCAATTTTGATACAAGTAATAATTTTGATAGAATGAGAAGTAACGATAAAAGCAATATTTTTTTTAAATTTTATTAAATTGCATCAAACAAATGTAAAATATTACTTTCACAATATTCGCCAAATAAAATTTTGATTAAAATACGAAAATATTTTCATTTTTATCTTTCATACAAAATTTGTCATTTTTCATTTAGAATTTTTATTTTGCACTTGTAAATAAATTATCGCACATGTTAGGTCACAATTCATGCTAGACAATTTACAAAGCAAGAATCAAATTAATAGTGTAATAGTATTCAGTCAAATAAACCATTGAAATTGCAACACAATGCCCATGATTTTAAACACTTTGAACACGCGCCGTGTTCGCACACGTGGCGCGTCGAAAATCGTCGATTTTTTCGTCTCGCCGCGTTTACAATCGAATTCGTAAATATTCTGCCGATATCGTCGCGATCAGGCGGAGGCCCGCCGAAGAAAAGATGTGGGTAAATTCGAAGACGTGGGGAGACCAAAGAAGAGGAGATATCGTGGAATACAATCTGGTAAAAGCCGAGCTGACCGCCACTCGCGCGCGCGGAGGGTTTAAGGAATGGCCGGAGCGGATTTATGGCAGCCTTAAATCCTAACGAACACTCTTAGTTCCCTCCTTTCCCTCCCCCGACGGATTTCCCCCCTCCCGTGACTGCTTTCCATCGAGAATGTCGTATTTGCAAAGTTACTTCTACTTGAAGCGCGATTTCAGCCGTCCTGGAAAAATCGCGAAGGTTTTACGACTCGAATCACGAAGGTGAGCATCGCTTTTGTCGAATTCTATGAGGAGAGATCGTGAGTTTATAAAGTGTCCCTTCTGTCGCTCGAAGAAGGAAAATGCATAGATTTTCCAACTTGCGTGTGAAATGGTACGAGAACTAAAAATTTCTCCTCTTAGAATATATAGTGACTGTAAGTAGGAAAAAAATATAGAAGAGTGATATAAAATTCATGGATTTAAATAAAATAAGTAATTTGAGATTTGCGTGGCTACTTTTTGCTACTAAAAGCAATGATAGATAGAGTTAAAATTGCTATTCAATCAGTTCCCATGAATTTTAATACGCAAATCGTAACGCAATTTATCCGCTGATGTTAAATTTATCCCATTACGACAAAGTGACGTTATGTTACATTAAATCATTCAAATCTAACATAAATTCAAAGATCCCATGATGCAATCTCATCGTTTTACTTGTACATCGCGGCATAACAAGCTCTCAGCCTCATCAAAAATGCCGAATCGAGTCTCGCGCGAGCAAGCTGATATAATCTTCAAAGACACCCCACGGGGAAGCCTACACGCGTGCGTCCGAATAATCCCCCTGCAGCGAGACTACGCACGTGTGCGCGCAGTTTCATTCGGGACACGTGCGGAAAGCTGCAGGAAGATGCGCGAGGAAGTCGCCTAATCAACGGCGTCGGAGAGGGGCCGCATCATCAGGGACCGGCAAATAATTAATGAGCGCCGAAATTCGGAGACCATCGGTCGCGGAAAGCGCTCTTCAATAATTCAGCGCGAGCGAAACGCTCGCCGATCGGCTCTCGACGTCCGTCGCTCCACGCCGAACACGTGGTAAGCGACGTGGTGAGAGAAAGAGAAGGGATGAAGACGGGGGCTGGCGGTTCCGTCGGGAGCACCTTTCACTTCCTCGCCGGATTGATAGCTGGGTCACGTGTCTGCGATCCTCGATGCTCTTCGCGAGCACGCGATAAATCTTTCAAGCCGGCGCCCGCTTTCGCACCTCCGAAGCGCTTCGCCGAGAACCTGCGCTCTTCTCTCCACCCGCATGGAATTACGAGGAAATAACAGAAGAGAGGATTGCGAGGGGGGCGCAGTACAATAAGACGTCTCCGTTCGTTCGCGCGAGAGTGGTTATAGCGGTCGTTACTCCGCGGCGGTTTTACTGCGGAGTCTCTGTTTATGGTGTTGGAATTTCTCGGCCAATAAAAACCGCCGTGAGTTTTACTAGCGACTTTGTTATGGCGCAGCTAGATAAGATTGCAAATAACAATTAAATTTCCTTCGTGATACGCTCTCTTGAAATACAAAATATCCCGTATGCATTATCAGAATTCCGCTTCAGTTATAAATATCAGGTCGTAAATTCTGCCTTAATCAACCGCCGTGGTAAACTTTGACTTTTTGTTGCATGAAAAATAGGTAAAACAGGCCGAGAATAGTAATTATTCGTGATACGTTTTTTTAGTATCACTTTCCATAAAACGTAATTTACTTCATGCGAAATAAAAAAGATCGCGTGTTCGCGCATTAAGTCGGGCGCTCGATATAAATAAAAAATTGAGTTAACCCCATTTAGCGCCGTTATCGTGATTCAGCGCTTGCAGTTTCACCGATAACGAACACGTTTCGGATACAATGCCGTCGCTCGTCACGTGGAACGCGGTTGTTATCAATGCTCGCAGCCGTTGCGCGCCGCCGTTGCATTATATCGCGCAACATAATGCGCTGCGCACTCGTTGCATATCAATAAAACGCGCCAAAAAGTCTCATTCGCTTCATACGTTTGATCGCGTGCGTTGGACGGCGGCAAACGCGAGCGCTTACTATATCCGGTATCTGTAGACCGGGGAATTTCAACAGTCACCTGGTATGCTAAATGCATGTGTATATCGCGTTTGCAGAGCCAACTATGCGTATCGTCGGACATTCGTGCGAGAGATATTGCGACACATTCAGCGTTTAGTGGAAATTTATTTTATTTCAAGAACAAAACGGTTCATGTAACACGTTTGTGAACAACGCTGTTGTAGCCAACAACTTGTCTCGCATAATGTTCATTTTATCTCTTGGTGAAATATTTTCGCAATGTTATGCGAGAGTTTAAAACTAGTTTCTCTTGGCGATGCTATCGCATAATTAAATGCTTGCAATGATTTCGTGATTATCTCCGGATGTTTCTCCGAGTTTTTCTATTTAGATATGAAATTCTTACATTCTTTAGGATACTCGAAAATTGTATGTGTTTGTTGTAATACAAAATACATATAATATTTTTATATTATTTAATGAAATAATTAAACACCGGAATGCTTTCTTCGATGTGAAATTTTAGTCAAATATGCGAATTCGCATTTTCCGCTCGACAAAATCGCAAAGATCATGAACGCGGGCGAAAGTGCGCTTTCAGCGCGCGCGCGAGTGCGTGAATGCTTCATTCATCGGCACCGAAAGATCCCTGTGAATGGCTGTCTCTCACGAGCGCAGATATCCACGGGCAGATACCTGCGAGCGTTTTAATGGCCCGTGAATTTTCTCGTTTGCTTTTTTTTCTTCGTCCACGTGTTTGTCACAATGCCGTTCATTCAGCCTACGGTGCGTACCGTTATTATTCATCGCCCCTATGTATAAACAGTGTCGTTCAGTTATCTGTAGATTTGTATCACCCGCATGACATCTCTATCGACAAAAACTGAAACTATATATTATTTTTATTAATTATATTGCGATTTGCAATAGAATAATTAATAACAATAAATAAGTGAAAATTAAAAAAAGT